GAGTGGTGTATTCAAATGGTGACAGAAGGGACTTCTTTAAAACTACTACAGTTTTCGGGACCAGCAGATAGCATAATGGCTATGTCACTGGACTCCCATGTAGTTGACCGCGGTTCGCCTCCTGAACCCGGTGACTTAAAACTCACGCCGGGCGCATGTGCCCGCATGCCCAAGGTCCCGAGAGGAGAATGGAGGAAAAGGGACTGCGGCGTGACCATCCCCCTGGGGGGTGATTTGTAGTTTTCTATCTCTCTCTGTCTTTCTGGTGAGCACACACGCCCAATAGTGAAAAACCTCTCAAAAATAAATAAATAAATAAATAAAATAAAACTACTACAGCTTTCTAACCTCCTACTTAAAGTCTAACATACATGTCCTTACGTAAGTATCTAAAAGTAAACTATTGGGTAGTCAGAAAAGTCATGACATATTTTCCTTTTTTTAATGCAAAAATGCATCATGACTTTTCCAGCAACCCAGTATTTTGGCTTTTTTAGGAGAAAACTACCCACAATTTTCTAGTCCATTAATATATAATAATTACTCCCACTTTAGAGAAAAAACTGTTTGAAAAAAACTTAAATTTTCCTAACCAGAAAAAATAATACCAAATAACTTACTGCAAAACTGAAGTCACCTATAATTTAAACACAAGTGCCTTGAAAAGTTCAAGCTGCAAGTTAACAAATACTAAATTGTACTGACTTTTCTCTGTCTCCTAGAAAATTAATTTTTGAAACTTTTTTATTTTTAGACTTCTGCCACAGTGTGCATGTGCTCTCCAGAAAGAGAGAGGAAACGTGAGAAACCACCCCCCAAGATGGTCACGCTGCAACCTTGTCTCCTCCATTCTCCTCTGGGGATTTTGGGCACATATGTACGCACATCCGGTATGATTTTCAACCGCTAGATCTGGGACAGGAACGGTGGAGTCACCCATGTGGGATCCAGCACCTTAACCACTATGCCACATGCTGTCTCAAATTTCTAAAACATTTTTTAAGCACAGCTCACTGCTCCTCTTGCTTGAAACAAGGGCAACCCTATTGCAGAAAAGAAAAGAAAATCTGTAAGTAAAGCCCTTCCTTCATTCTATCAGAAAATGAGCACTAAAAAATGTTATCAGTGAGACCGAGCCTGGTCTGTACACACAATCAACAGCAAAGTGGCCTTGCATAAAAGCAGATTCTCAGGCAGAACTGTATCTCAGGGCCAGTTCCATGGTCTGGCAGATGGGAAGCAAGATCTCACATGGCTGACTGGAGTTTGAATCTCAGCCCAGTGGCTTGAGAACATGCAGGGCACATGTGCACAGATGCCTCAAATCCTGAGAGAGAGAAAGGGAGAGAAGGGACTGTGGTGTGACCCACCCCATCGGGTATGCTTCCTCTCCCCCAATCCCACTTTTTGGCTGGCACACAGACCCTCGGGCTCTCATGGAAGAAGAGTCACAATCATGCCTGCACTCGTAACAGGAGTTAACGATTTCATAACTGCACTCCAGTCCCGGTAACACATGAAGCCAGATCAGTCTTGTCCTCCCCCCTGTCCGCAGGAGACGAGGGTCCACAGTGGACTCCCATCACTCTCCCCGGCCTCACCTATCTGCCAACAGTGATTCCACATCAATTACTCCCTCTCTGCCTGGTCATCCAATCAGCTCACAAATGACAGCTCTATTTTTTTTAGTGTGATAAAGTTAACTTTATCGAGGTATAATTTATTGGGTTATCAGAAAAGTCATGACGTATTTTTTTCTGTTTTTCTACACGAAAATGCATCATTACTTTCCGACAACCCAATATACACGATAAAACGCATTCGTCTTACGTACATGATGCAGCACATACCAGCAGTGCAGAGGGCGCCAGCACATCCCTTGTACCCAGCATGTGCCCTCGTCCCTCTATACCCGATTCATCCCTTCACTGTCAGCCCTGGATCCCAGCAGGTCTGCCTCTGGCACCATCACTAAGTCTGGCTCGCATTATCTCACAGAGATGGGAGCAGGCAGCGCCATCTCGAGCCTGCCCGGCTTCTCGATTCAGTACTCCTGAGAGTCATCCCTGCTGGAGTATCGGAAATGCACTTCTTTTTACTGCTGAGTAGTAGCACAGAGACAAAAACAACTCTTGGGACTGGCAGGTGACATGGTGGTAAAGGCACTGGGCTGCTACATGGCCAACCACAGTCCACCCAGACCCGGTGGCTCGCTTTCTCAACTTCTCTCTCTCTCTAACTCTCTCTGGTCAAATTAAAAAATAATAAATAAACTAAATAAATAAATAATTGGTTTTAGATAATATAAAAAACTCTTAACTTTCTTTTTACAAGCAGTGATTTCTATTCATTAATAAACTAAACGTCTACTTCCAGATAATCCCTTCTCGTGTATGCTCCGTTTGTTTCGTCTAGTAAGTAAAGCCCGCTAGGGGAGGCTTCCTCATCCGCACTATGTGGAAGTAAGAGTCCATCAGTCTCTTCGTCAGAGCAGCCACACGAAGCCAATCACGAAGGTTGTTCTTATGGTATTTCTTGGTGAGGTATTTCAAATACCTTTTAGAAAACTGCTTCTCAGAAACAACTGTGATTCTATTCTTGAAGTGCTCAATGGGAACCACATTTCCAAGGTGGCCAGTTTTCCCAATGACTTTAACCTTTTCCTACAGAAACTAACTGTTCAAAATTTCCAGAGTCAAAAATTCCATCTTCTGGGGCCAGCAGGTGGCATGGTGGTTAAAAGCGCTGGATTCCCACATGGCTGACTGCAGTCTGAGTCCCAAGTCTGGCAGCTTACTTTCTCACTTTCCCTTTCTCTATCTCTCTCTGGTCAAATTAAAAAATAATAATAACAAATGGAATCAAATAAACATCTAATTCTTTTTTTTAATTCCATCTTCTAATAGATGAGTAAGGTCCAAATTAAACTTCCAGGTTGACCTCTCAGGCTTCTTGTCTTTCTGTAGCACCACCTTGGCCAGTTGTGCAATCAGAAAAGAAAAAGCTTACTTTAAGACAGAAGGGCAGGGCCGGCAAGTGGCGTGGTGGTTAAGGGCAGTGGATTCTCACAAGGTCGACCTCAGTTTGAGACCCAAACCTGGCAGCTTGCTTTCTCACTCCCACCTCCTCACTCTGTCCCTCTCTGGTCAAATTTAAATGAATAAATAAAATAAAGTTAAATAAAATAATTCTTAAAAAAAAAGAAGGGCTGGGGAATAGATCAAAATAAGGAGAAATTCTGAAGTGAAGAGGAAGGAAGCAGGATTAATGTAAACTAGCCTTCATGCTCTTAGCAAAGGCAAGACCTGAGGTCTAGGGTGCGCTTGAGGAGAATAAAAGAAAATACCTGAAGCAGTTATGGGGTGTGACTGGAAATCCTGTGGGAGACAGAAGACTTGAACTTTCTAGACGGCAATATGCAAATCTGTACCAAAAGCTTAAAAATGTATATGCTCCTATCCCTGGCATTTCCACTTCTGAGATTACGTCTTAGGTTAGAAACTACGGGAATGTGCAAAGACACAACTACACAAACACGTACTGGGCCAGCAGAGGGCATGGAAGTTAAGGCAGCTGGGTCCGCATAACCAGCTGCGTGGTTCGAGTCCTGACCCAGCAGCTTGATAACATGGTGCCTGTGTCTGTGTGCCCCGAATCCCACGAGGAGAATGGAGAAGGGACAGCAGTGTGGCCACACCCACTGGGGGTGATTTTTCACTTTCCCCCTCTCTCTGTCTCTCTCCAGGAGCATGCATGCCCTACAGCAAGAAAACTAAAAACAAAAACAAAACCATGTACTACATGCAGCATGTGGAAATGACCTAAATGTCCAACTACACAGAGTGGGACAAATAAATGAGGGTACCCTGTTTACTTAAAATGTTACACTGTCATGTTTAAAAGACATTTCACAGGCAGATCCTGTAGCCTCGTGTTGGAGGAAACCTAACCCACATGACCGACCATGGCCGGAATCCTGGCCCCAAAGGCTAGAGAAACACACAAAGTGTGTGGGGAGGCATACACAAGAGCCCAGGGGTATAGAGTAATGAAGAAGGGACTGTGGGCGACAATGCCCCACTGGGGGATACTTTCGCCCTCTCTCTCTGCACCTCTCCCTGGCGAATGTGCGCACCCTCTGGCAATTATGAAAAAAGGGGGGAAGCATTCACAACACATTGTTTATTTGTTCAGTAAATATCTGCTAAGTGTCTACTACATACACAGCACTATGAAAATAACCTCTGCCCATGTGGAATTTACATTCAGAAGAAAAACTTGAGAACTTACAAAGATGTAGTACACAGTGACTCCATATTTAAGAGATAAGTATGTGTACATGTCTAGGTATGCATCCGTATTAGAGTTATCTGCCTAGAAAAATATATTAGCCAGAGGTTCTTTTAAAAGTCATTAATTCTGGGTGGAAGGACTGGGCCACTTTTCCCCTTACCCACATTTTCTAGCTAGTACTGTACTACTGTAATATTTTTAAAAGACTTCTTGAGCCACACTCTGTAGTACAGCAGTCAGGTTCAGTACCCAAAAAGCGGGATCCTACATGGCCAGCCGCAGGTCAAATCCCAGCCCTGACAGCTCGAGAAACACACTAGACATGTGCGTGCATGTCCGAAACCCTGACTGGATTTAAAAAATGAAAGAAAAAAGACTAAGCATGACCACACACCACCAGATGGTTCTCTCTCCCTTGCTGTCTGTCTGTCTCTATTAAAAGCACATGCCCTCCGGCCAAAAAAAAAAAAAAAAAAAGGAA